TACATGTTTTCCTTTACAACCAATCCTCCCAGCCACAAAGTACATAATGTAAGAGTTCCATCATAGTGCAGCAGTAAGCAAGCACATGTAGGAAACCGATATTTGGAACACAATAGCTCAAGATCATGTGGTTAAATGTGAAAAATCCTACAACGCAAAACTCCATAGCAGAATTTACTTCTGAGAATCAGCTCTAGTGACAACTAAAATATGTCAACAAATATGGAAAACAGTGGCCAACAGTCTGGAAATGATCAATATAAATCCCAACCCACAAAAAAGGAGACACAAGAGACTGTAGCAACTATAGGACCATAGTATTAATATCCAATGCAAGCAAAATTTTATTCAAAATCCTACAGTATATACTTCAATCATTCATAGAGAAATAAATCCCAGAGATGCAAGTGGGATTCAAAAAAGGGATTGCATTGCAAACATACGATAGTTAATGAAGCACACCAGGGAATTCCAGAAGAAAATCAGTATGCGCTTTATAGACTATAGCAAAGCCTTCGATGCATAGATCTCAAAAACTATAGAACGCTCTTAAAGACATGGGAGTGCCACCATATTTGATAGTTCTGATGGGAAATCTGTACCTAGGACAAGAGACCACTGTTAGAACAGAATATGGAGAAACAGAATGGTTCCCAACTGGCTAAGGGGTCAGACAAGGCTGCATTCTATCACCCTACCTGTTGAATTTGCATGCAGAAAATATTATACAAAGAGCAGGGATAGACTCAGAAGAAGAAGGAGTGAAGATAGGACAAAGGAACATCAACCATGTAAGATATGTGGAAGACACCATACTACTAGCGGAAACCATCATAGACTTGCAACAATTACTAAGGAAGGTCAAAGAAGAAAGTGTAAAGAAAACAAAAATAATGATCATGGAGGATCTACATAAGTTCAACCTAGATAACGAGGAAATTGAAATAGGTAAAGATTTCCCATATCTTGGATCAAATACTAATCAGAATGGAGACTGAAGTCAAGAAATAAGGAGACTGGGGATGGGAAGGGCAGCCATGAAAGAATTAGATAAGATCCTAAAGTGTATAAAGATATACAACAGCGCACCAAAGTCAGAATCATGAAGCCATTATATTCCCCATTACTGGGTATGGATGTGAGAACTGGGCAGTGAAAAAAGCCAACAGAAAAAAATAAAACTCATTTGAGATATGGTACTGGAGAAGAGTGCTGAAGATACCGCATAGTTTTTGTGGGGTTTTTTGGGCTGTGTGGCCTTGTTCTGGAAGAATTTATTCCTGACGTTTCATCTGCATCTGGGGATGGCATGTAATGTTTAAGTAGTGGTTTCATTTGTTGGAATATATAGTTCTTGAGGATATACAGTACTTCGGTATTTTGTGAGTTTCTCCCTGTTGTTTTTGGCATTTTTGGTGAAACTTTCCTAGTCTAGTTAAACCTCTTGTGTACACATCTTGCCATGAAAACCTCAGGATAGGATAGAAAACGAGTTGAAGGCACACAACAACAACTTGCCTTCAAGTCTCCTTCGGACTGATGGAGACCCCATGCATTTCAGCAAGGAATACTGGAAGAGAGGACTTGAAGGCACACAATATCCACACACAACACAACACAACACTCGGCCTGAACAGACTGCAGAAATAATCCAGTTTGAGACCTCTTTAATTGCCTTGGCTCAGTGCTAGGGAATCATGGGGAACTGTA